TCTTAAGCCTGTTTACAAATAACAATATTTGACAGATGGTGTTGTCATGCGATTTTGTCCATAACCTACTATCGGCACAACCTACTTAATGCCTTACTTTTGTCTTATAATGTTACATAATGGAAATCTATTAAAATTAGGAAAAATATAAAATTCCGGATACTTTCTAGACGGACTATACATAATGTTACAGTGCCACAAAACACTTTCTTGTTTGTCATTTTTTGGTCGATACGTCGAAGAAAAGTTGGCCTATTTCGATAGTTTGTGACATATGTTCGTGTGTACGCGAGTTTCATACATTTTGTGGTTTTTCCTAAATTAAACAAAAGCTTTCAGAAACTATTTACGAAGAAGTTGAAAAGCTTTAGTGCAATAACAATTTTAAACATTTATAACAATATTTATCCATCCGCATAAAATCTTAACGAACAAATTTTCTTGATACCATTTGAAAAGAGTTAACGATTTTTTTATTAAATATGTAAACTGGTAACACATAATATTCTTATTTATTATTATTCTTAGCAAAATAGAAAGTACATGCTTACTTTATATTGTTAGTATTAAGTATCTTAAAAGTGATCGATACTAGCATATATTATTGGCTTGTATACATTACAGATTCAATAAAAGGTTCAGTTATAGTTTATTTTATTTATTTAACCTCTTACCTCTACACATAACAATCGTTCATTCAAATAATATTGATAAGAGAGCACTCAACAAATATGAAACAGAACTAGGTCTTCGAACAGGTCGTGCTTACGTTGGCCAATATCCTCCTCCTCTATCCTTTATCCTTCGTAAGGATGTGGTGACGTTATGGTATTTGACGAATGGTTGCTATCCATTCTTCTCCCTCCTGGGCGCAGTGTGCTGCCTCAGATAGAGAGTAACCGGTAGTGCACTTTATTTGGTCTGACCATCGGAGTGGCGATCTTCCTCGAGTTATTTTACCATCTACCTTGCCACCAACCTCTCCATGCCTTTTTTTGTGCGATGTGCTGTCCAGGGTGCTCTCCATTTGTGCGATGTGCTGTCCAGGGTATGCGCATTATTATACGATATACCCATATTTTAAAGGCCATTATACGTCGTGAGTCGGACTTTTTAATGGTCCAAGTGTCTGACGCATAGATAGCGATAGGAAAGATAAGCGTCCGTACTAGGCGCAGTTTCGTGTTCCTGGTGAAGTCCGTATCTTTCCAGATTTTAGTAAGTTTGACGATTGCTGATCTGGCCATTGTAAGGCGTCGACGTATCTCTTCTTCGCATCCACCATTGTTTGTTCGGTTATTTTCGGCTGGTTATTTCTAATTCGATCGATTATCATTACCTTGGTCTTCTGCACATTAATTTTAAGTCCATATTCACGACTAATAGTATCTAGGTCATTTAATAACGTGGGAGAGATAATACATCCTTGACGAAGTCATTTAGTTTAAACTTATTAGAGGATATGTTGTTGACTCTTACGTTTGCTGAGTTGTTGATATACAATTGTTTCAGTAGCCACATTTTATACTACTTTACATTATGGAACGCTTTCGAGTAGTCGACGAATCACAAATATGTTTCTAGACTAAATTCTCTAGAATTATCTATAATTTGTCTGAGATTGAGAATTTGTTCTCGTGTGCCTCTTCCAGGGACAAATCCACATTGTTCTTGTGGGATCTGTGGTAGAATTGATTTTAATCTCTCGTTAATTAGAGTTAGCAGAACTTTACTTGCGTGGGAAATCAGGGCTATAGTGCGGTAGCTATTATAGTCAGTTGATGAGCCTTTCTTATAAATGGGTATGAAAGTGAGCTTACACCAATTATCTGGCCATTGTCCTGTGTTCCAGATTCAAGTTTGAACATTAAGAACCGTAAAAACTTACCCGGGTGCGGATGTAGCATCAGACCACAATGCGGTGGTATGTAAGTTTGAAGTAAAGTTAAAAAAGCCAAATGTAAAGAACAGGCCCGCTAGATATTAGGAAGCTTTCCAAAAATAATATTAAACAACAGATGCAGGAGAATTTAAATACCGAAATATCAAAAATCCTTAAAAATAACAATGAACCACTGGAAAAGTGGAGTGAAATTAAAGAAGAGATTAGGACTTCAAGCACTAAGTTCTTAGTACCTGATAAGAGAAAAAACAAAGTCTGGATGACTGCAGAAATCCTTGACATGATGGAAGAGAGGCGGATATATAAAACTAAAGAAACTGCCAAATACCGTGAAACCCATAGACGAATAAGAGCTGAGATAACAAAAACTAAAGAGAAATGGTTCTCGGAGAGATGCGAAGAAATCGAACAGTGCGAAAAGGTATACGACTATCACAATATACATAAGAAGATAAAGGAACTCACAACAAAGAAAAGCTACAATATTTTATCGAAAGGGCTGTGCGATAATAATGGAAATCTACAACTAGACCCCAACAAAATAGTTAGAATCTGGGAAACTTCTGTGGAACAACTGTTTAATGATGACCGCCCTAGTGGGTATACACTGAGCAATGATGATACTGGCCCTTCTATTCTAAAATCAGAAGTGGAGAATGCTATAAAGGGTCTTAAAAATAACAAAAGACCAGGCAACGATAACGTATACGAAGAAGTATTGAAAATGCTGTGCGAAACAAACAGTCAATTTCTAGACTCACTCGTCAGACTCTTTAACAATATTTATAACAGCGGGGAGTTTCCTGAAGACTGGCTAGAGTCAACTTTTGTTGTCATACCGAAAAAACCAAAAGCAAAGTCTTGTGATCAACATCGGATGATAAGTCTAATTAACCACATTTCGAAGGCATACACCAAAGTTATTTACAACAGAATAAGCAAAAAATGCGAGGATAACATTGGAGATTCGCAGTTTGGGTTTCGGAATTCTCTTGGGATAAGAGAAGCACTTTTTAGTCTACAGGTACTCATCCAGCACTGCAGAGATACGAACAAAGACGTGTACATATGCTTTATAGACTATGCAAAAGCATTCGATAACGTAAATCACGAAAAGATAATTGAAGTTCTCCATAAGATCGGAGTCGACTACAGAGACATTCGAACAATAGCGAGTCTCTATTGGGGTCAAACAGCTAAAGTGAAAGTAGGATCTACATTGACCAATAAAATTGAGATCAAGAAAGGGGTACGACAGGGCTGTATCTTGTCTCCTATTCTCTTTAATATATACTCAGAAGAAGTATTTAAGACAGCGCTGGAGGAAAGCACAGAAGGCATAAGGATAAATGGAGAAATAATTAATAACATAACTTATGCCGATGACACTGTGATTCTAGCAAGTAGCATGGAGGAAGTGAGTTGCCTAATGAGTAAGATACAAAAAACAAGTGCACAATACGGACTCAGACTAAATATCACAAAAACCAAATGGATGTTAGTAAGTAAAACCTAACAACCACCACAGCAACTGATATTAGACAATGAAAGAATTGAACACGTGGATTCGTACATCTACTTGGGAACAACAGTTAATTCAAATTCTGATCAAGCGAAGGAAATACGTATAAGAGTAGAAAAGGTAAGAGTATCGTTCACTAGCATGAAGCAAATTTTCAACTCTAAAAGCCTCACCCTACCTCTCAAAATTCGACTTCTGAAATGTTATGTATTCCCGGTTTTGTTATATGGAATGGAGGCGTGGACAATGACCGCAACATTGATGGAAAAAGTAGAGGCCTTCGAAATGTGGGTTTACCGACGTATATTACGTATATCCTGGACTGAGCACGTGACCAACGAAGAGGTACTACGCCGGATAGGTAAAGAGAGAGAGAGAGGTAGGAATAAGTATAAAAAAAAAGAAAGTTGGAATACTTGGGTCACGTTATGAGACATAATAAATATAGAGTACTACAGCTGATCGTTCAAGGGAAAATAGACAGCAGAAGGGGTCCAGGGAGGAAAAAACACTCCAAAACTTGCGGCAATGGTTCGGATTGTCATCTGCTGAACTATTCAGATCTGCCGTAAACAAGCCATGTTGATTGCCAACTATCAGAACGGACTAGGCACATGAAGAAGAAGAAGACTAAATGGTAAAATATAGTTAGAAGAGAGTTTATGAGGTAATAGGATAGTTATGACATAAGATAGAAAGATGTGGAGAAATTCAATTAAGTTAGTTGGTTTCGCAAAGGGATAAATATAAAGGGTGATAATATTGTACTAATCCTTCATGGATGCAATATATGTTCCGCCTATCAATTTATTATAGTCAGAAGGAGGTTTAAGGTAAGTAAAAAATAAAAATATTTTTTTAGAAATGCATAACATGTTTATTAAATAAATAATTAGGTGGCTGATGTGAAAATTGACATTTTATAAATTTAACATTATCTTGACTATCAGTACAGTCAATTATTCGAGTATAGCCTCATAACATTCATATAAAAATACTGATTTAAATTACAATTTAGAATAGCTGTATTCTGAAAAGTGCAACTATTAAATATTGATAATACTAATATCAAATCAAAGGCACAGAATAATAAACAATCAGAATGCCCACTCTCAGATGCCGCCTTTGAAGTTTTTCAGCACGCGCGCCATGTTTTAGCAAGGACACAGACATATGATTTGTGAGGTTATGCAATTGTTTATATTTATGTTTCAATCTATTATATTTATATTATTATATTTAACAATGTTAATATAATTGTATATTATGTCTATGATTGCCGTAAGTCAATTAAACCGGGTTAATTTTGTCTATGCACACCACATAAACAACACTGGTTCCCTCTAAAACATGGCGGAACGTCTGCGCGAAGGAGATGCGCGTACTTAATTTTCCATGGAGAGTGGGCATTCTAATTGTTTATTATTCTGTGTCAAAGGTAATAAAACATATTTAAGAACAACAAGTAAACTGGTAGCGAACGTGAAACCCTCAAGCGCTTCACATGTTCTTAACTATTCAAAACCATATTTCACTGTTTGTAAATATAGCAGTAGATTCTTCTTTAAGGTGTCGTTAGCAGAACATATTTATAAGCGTCCCCGTCCACTTTCTCATATCTCTATTATCAAAAAATACCTTAATGCGACAATGCCGTGTAATTTGCATGCCATGCGGTCCATGAAAGCAAGGGAATCATCGCTTCCCTAGGTTTCTGTAGTAATACCGTAACAACTGAGTAACAGGTTATTAAAAAAAATTGAACAAACACATAAGCAGCATTTTAACCCATAACTGGTGAGCTGGAGTCACGCAGACTCCTAGTACTTTAGAAGTTGTAACTTTTTTCCGGTCGGCGGTTTCTTGCGCGCCCTTATGTACCTTTAAGTCACTATTGGTATTCAGCTAGGGTACTGTGAACACGTTCAAATTAGAAATCAGAGTCTGTCTGTGACTCCGCCTCACCGTTAACGTAAGTTTTGTAATTGTTATAAAATTAAAGATTTTTGTGTAAAACCTGTTATTTTTAGATGAATTTGGTTGACAAATCTCCTAATCCTAAAGTTTTAATTATATAATGCATCATATGCCCGTTTCATATTATAGCTCTAAGAATTCATGATTCACCTCACATATTTTTAAAAATTGGTTTTTCAAAGAATTTGTACCTTCAGTGAGAAAATTTCAAGAGAAGAAATTGGGAATACCGCCAGATGAGGTCAAATGTTTATTGCTTTTAGACAACGCTCCTGCTCACTCCTCTGAAAATATCCTATGTTCAGAAGATGGCAACTTTAGGTGAATATTTTTACCAAAAAATACAACATCGCTTATTCAACCCATGGATCAGGGAATCATTTTGGCAGCCAAACTAATATATCGCAGCAAGTTGTTAATGGTTGTATTGTAAAATGGAAATAATGTAGAAGATACAAGAGGGCAGCGTACCTTGCAAAACTTAAGGTCTTACAATTTAAAATCAACAATTTTTAATTTTCTGCAGCATGGGAGGAGATGAAAGAGCAAACATTAAAAAATAGTTGGAAGAATTTGTTTGATGGCCAAGCAGACATAGATTTAGAAGGGTTGAAAGTCACTGATTTCTGTAGGATAATAATGTCACAGAACATGGAGCTGAGGAAGGTGTTTTACAATGCCTAGAATTAGATGAAGGTGACCCTGGGTATAACATCATGACTGAAAGTGAAATAGCAGATGAAGTTATGAACCTAAAAAATGAGGATGGAAGTGAAGATAGCGAACAAGACGACAAAACAAGACTGTTAAAAATGAAGTTCTCAGAGGTAAGGTCACATCTCAACGATTTAATAACATTTATTGATTATTCATCAAATAGTTCTGTATTCTACGCATTTTCGTAATTTTAGAGAGTCGATCATAAAAAACAGCAAACATCGAAAGTAAAAACGAAACTTGTTCAAAACAGTGTTACTTACAATCGATATTCACAACAATGTCACTTCACAATGAATGTCGGAAGACAATTACGTGTTGATAACCGTGTTATTAACACGTCCTCGAAGACACTTCATCTCAGGACCATATAACTGTAATGTAATTGTTAGCTCGTTTGGTCATTTTATTATATACCTTTTATAAAGGATTTTTTTTTTTTTAAAGGAACTTAGTTTCCTAGTGGATTTGTATTTCCTTAAACCGTATAGAAAAAAAATGTTACGTTGAATATATTTTTTAGAAAGACAGTTTAGTTTATTATTTTGGAAATTACTTTTTCTAAAATTGTCTTAGATTATGAATATGTCATTGTTTATGTCCTACCTCATATTGTGTCTTAATAAGATTGATAATTATGAAAAAATCATAAATTCTTAAAACTTAAAGCAATAAATTTCTTAGTTATAACATCATTTTAAATTCTTAACTCACCTGTAATAGGTTCCTTATACTATTTTCACTGTCTTAAATGCAACTGATAATCGCGATAAAGCCATAGTGGCATATCTGCATATTTCTTTGGGATTAAGTCAATAACCTGGTTATTTTTGTTGCGCATACTTCAACAAGCAATACTTTTCATAATTTTATCCATGGGAATGGTAGCTTCTTCAATATGAAATAAGCGGTACGCCATAAAACATTAATTGTAAAATCTTTGGAACATACTGGTGAAACATGTCTCTTTTGTATTTATGTTTGATTTAAAAGCGACAATATCCAAAATAAAACTATTCATTCTTTGTATTGCTAAGTATGTCATTGTATATATAATTATATACTTTTTTCAATATTAAATTTCCACATGCTTTTGCCATATCTTTCATTCGTCCCATATCTAAGTTTGATTTTTTTAGTTGTCTTAGAAAGACTAATTAGATGTATGGTATTTCTTCATTGCTATAATAATATATCGCCAAATAAAAATAGTTGTATATCTTACAAATGGCGCATAATAAATTAAATTCAGAATCATTAAAGATCCAAATAATACTGAAATAACAAAGTTGCACCTTTCAGAACCTAATTACTTAGACTTTGTTGAACACTAAAATAAATAAATACATTGTTTTCAAATAATGGCAAGAAAATATAATAATTTCTACACCTCCTCTTCATCTTTCAGCAAAGGCCTAATATCCTCGTCGTCAGATTCGAATTTCTTTTCGTTGTGCCCTAAAAAAATAGCAACGTCCTGGAACTCTAAATCCACAATGAAGAATCACTAAGGTGTCAACATACTAAAAATATTTTTTAGTGCTATGTACTACCTATTGGATGCTTGTGCTCTGTGTATGTGATAATTAACATAATATGTAAAAAAAACATTCATTAATTATACTAGTAATTCTTGGTCATATAAGTTCGATACTTTAAATGCTTGATAACAAACGAGGCACGAGTAGAAAATACCTAATTATCCTGATATTTCATATCACTTTACTACAACTAAATATTGAATCACGGCGCATGTCCAATAAAGAAGCCTGTTCCGTGCCAGTGTGAGACTGAATTTGCTTCCATGCAACACAGAACAGACTGCATAGGTAAGTTCTTATCTTTGACACAGCACGTCTAAATGACTAATAGGGAATACCCTTGTGAACAAGGCATAATTGATGAATAACCAGACAGCCGCACCAAAACTAACTCAGAGAGATTTGTGCTGCTACTACTGCGCTCATCTTATACATGTTTTTAGTAAAACTTGATTCAAATGGATTATTATACGTAATTGATTCAATGATTGTAATATACGTCATTGAGTTATTTACAAAAAAGAGTTGCAGATACCTTTACAAATATATCCAACGTATGTCCTAGAAGTTTTGGCACAAAATATTCATCTGATTTTGTTTTAATGAAGAAAATTACTTAAGCACTAACTAGTCATCATAAATTACAACTCAATAGTTAACTAAACTGTACTATTGCATTATGTGGAGTGATGCATTCTGTTTTACCAGATGCAAATTTCTTTGAATGTCTCTCAGGGGGCCTGGACAGAATTCAGATCAAGTTCGTTCAGTTTTTCGTAAATACCTGCTTAATTGTTCTTCATCTTGAACTTCCCAGCTTCGATGATAAACCTTCGTATACACTGCAGCCCAAAAATCGTCTATCGGGCGAGCCTGCGGCAAATTTGGAGGATTATCGTTTTTGGAAACAAAAGGTATGTGGTGTTGTTGAAGCCAGTTTTAGGTATCTCTTGAGTAATGGCGTGATGATAGGTCTGGCCAAACCAAGATATCGTCATTCGTATGATGTTCATGGACAAAGGCAATTTGGAAAGTATAAGCCCTGATTATTGAAAGCATCACCCCTCACTCTTTCCATAAAAGATCGGGATACACTCCTGGTAGAAATTGAGCGCGAGACTGAAATTTATCTGCAAATTTCGCCTTATATTTGTATATAGCATGTTCAGGGTATTGCTCTACGACTATGTGGTCCGTATACAATCCATCGTTTCCCTTCATTTCAGAATTACTCAAAGTAAAATTCATTTCGTCATTTAAAATAATGATTTTTTCATTGTCAAAGTGTACCCGCCTCAGTTGACAACAGCATCTTCTTCTTCTTCATGTACCATGTCCTTTCAGAACGTTGGTTACCATCATAGCCATTTTAATTTTATTCACTGCCACCCTAAATAGCATGCTTGTATCTACACCATACCAATCTCGCAAGTTCTTCAACCATGAGGTTCTTCTTCGTCCTGGACTGCGTTTGCCTGCTATTTTTCCTTGCATGATATTTTGTAGCAATCTATATTTGGGACCTCTCATTACGTGTCCGAAATATTCCAGCTTTCTCTGCTTGATGCTTTTTATGATCTTAGTAGTCTTGCTGAGACGTTCAAGTATTATGGAGTTACGAATCTTCTCCACCCAGGAAACTTTTAAAATTCTTCTATAGCACCACATTTCGAAAGCCTCAAGGCGATTTAGATCGATTTTATTCACAGTCCAGGACTCGACAGCATAAAGTAAGACCGAGAACACGTAGCAGCGAAGTAGGCGGATCCTTAATGCCAGTTTTAGGTCTCTGTTACATAACACCTTGGACATCCTTCTAAAAGCAGCTCTGGCCTACTCTATTCTGGATCTAATTTCGCCGTGATTTTCTGCATTACAATTTAATTGCTGTCCAAGGTAGACGATTTTATCAACTTGCTCAAGTTTGGTATTATTTACATATATAGACGGTTTTATATTCTGTTGTTTACTTATTACAAGTATTTTGGTTTTCCTTATGTTCAGATCAAGACCTGCCTCCCTACAACTCTCAACGACACTATCAAGTAGTGTTTGCAGATCTTCTTGACTAGAAGCTAGGAGTACTGTATCGTCCGCATATCGCAAATTATTGATGACTTCGCCGTTCACAAGTATTCCTTCTTGTTTTTCAGAAAGCGCTTTTCTGAAAATTCTTTCGGAGTAAACGTTAAAAAGCAGGGGTGACAAGAGGCATCCCTGCCGTACTCCTCTTTTAATATTGAGAGCTTGTGATTCCACACCATCTACTAAAACTGATGTTGTTTGATTCCAATATAAATTTGCAATTATTCGAACATCTCTGCCGTCCAAGCCTATGTCTTTTAGAGCTTCGATCAGTATAGAGTGCTTAACACGATCAAATGCTTTTTGAAAGTCAATAAAACAACAGTATATGTCTACAGATATATCACGACATCTTTGAGCAAGTACGTTCATTCCAAACAGTGCCTCTCTCGTTCCAAATCCGTTACGGAAACCAAACTGAGTGTCATCCAGGTATTCCTCACATTTATTGTAGATACGACCATGTATTACCTTCAGAAAAATTTTCAATAAGTGGTTTAGCACCATTCCTCCTTAAATCTAACTATATTGTACTCTTAAAAGATCTGTATTGACGA